CACAGAGGACAGGTGAGGAGGAGGAGGCGAGACTGTAAGAGGAGAGGAGATAGGAGGTGACGACTGAAGCTGCAGACACACGGGCAACAGGAGGTACACTGGCACAGCGGCTACCGGAACAGCGCTCCGGACTACTGGAGTAACTGGCCCCGCGGCTAAAAGTAGCGGCAGACGAGCAACGGACCCACGGGCGACTGGCACAGGTGGCTACGACTGGGCTACCGGAGCAACTCCCCGGACTACAGGTGCTGCTGGCGACACTACGGCAACCTCCGATCAACCTCCCCAAACAGTCCCACCCCCCTTGACACACACCCGCTGCTTCACCCCTAGCTCCACTCCCCCTTCACCCCCCCTTAGTACCACTCCGACGGCTCCAACAGGTCCACCCCCCCTCAGCGGCAGCTGCAGCACTGGGAGACGGAGGAGGAGGAGGAGCAGAGAACGGCACACAGAAGTTGCACCCCCATACCCCTCACCCACAAACCCTAATCCAAAGGAATGGGCTGAAGAAGGGGTGGGGCCCAAGAAGAGGCACGAGGAACAGCAGGTCGGGCAGGGGCAGTGAAGAAAGGGCCGCCAACGGGCCTGGTACAGGCGCCCGACCCGCGCGCAGGCGGCCCGAGCCGCGCGCGGGCCTGGCGCAGCCCGTACGGGCCGCGCGCGGGCCTGGCGCAGCCCGTACGGGCCGCTGACGGGTCTGGCGCGGCCTGTACGTGCCGCGCGCAGGCTGTACGGGCCGCGCGCAGGCCACGACGGGCGACGGGGGGCGACGCGGAGGTCCCCGTCGCCCGTCGCAGCGCCTCCCGGGAGCAGCGCACGGCGTGACGGGGCAGAAACCCACCGCGCGCCTCGGGGCCCACGGCGGGAAGAGAACCGCCGCGCGCCTCGGGGCGCACGGCGGGCAGAAAACCGCCGCGCGCCTCGGGGCGCACGGCGGAAAGGGAGAGTAGCAGTTGCAGCGGAAGGAGTGTGGTGGGGCCCACAGGCCAGGAGCTTACTGCTCTGATAACCATGTGAAAATAAGTGATAGAGTAAAGGCGCCATAGCTAGGAAAGACCTAGCTAGGCAAGAATAGTTTAGGCAAAAAGAGCAATTTCACTAGAAAGCAGCAGGATACATATAGGAAACCCTAAGGGGTTGTACTCACTATAGAGTACCCCACTGCAGGCTAGAGAACAGTAACATTCTAACAATGGGAAGGTAGGGGGAATGAAGAGACTCTTTTCATGAAAAAAGTCAGGAGACGGTCGGTGGTAGTGGGCAAAGGAAGAAGCTGTAGACGACTTTTGAGTTGACTCAAATGTCAAAGTCAGGGGACGGTCGGTGGCAGTGGGCAAAGGAAGAAGCTGCAGACGACTTTTGAGTTGACTCAAATGTCAAAGTCAGGGGACGGTCGGTGGCAGTGGGCAAAGGAAGAAGCTGCAGACGACTTTTGAGTTGACTCAAATGTCAAAGTCAGGGGACGGTCGGTGGCAGTGGGCAAACTCGAGTTTTTTAGTCGACTGAAAACTAGACATATCACACCAAAGTCAGGGGACGGTCAGTGGCAATGGGCAAAGGAAGAAGCCGGAAGAAGTTGTGATAGCTTTGGTGATGGTACCACTACCAGTAGTAGGAGCGGTTGGAAAATAGGACCTGAACGATTGAAGGCCTATTATGGTGGGCAAGAGGAGAAGGGGAAGGAGGAACCAGACGATAGCGTTGCCGTTCCGATTTTAGGGGCGGTAACAGTCAACTCTGTCGCAAAAATAGTACACTAAGGCGGCATACCTTGGAACTAGTAGGGCCGGACGTTTATTGACCTAACAGAACGGTTCTCGTGCCAACCATTCCATCACTCAGCAGGTGTTGGTGCGACAGGCTGCATTTACTAGGCTTGCTGACAGGGTTGCGTTGAGCGACAGCATGATTGCGTTGAGCGACAGCCTAACGACTCCAGGCTTGCGAAGTTGAGCAAAAGCGTTGAGCAGAGGGCGTTGAGCGAGCGGCAACAGTGCTGCGCCACCAGCATTGCGCAACAGAGCATTGCCGCGTTGCGTTGAGCGACAGGCTCTGAGCAAGCGGCATGGAGGCAGAACTTGACCGGCCAGTCACTTTGGGGTGAGTTTCATGTAACTTAAAAGTCACTTCGGGGAACCCAATTTCGGGTGGTCAGCCTTGGGTCGTCCCATTTTAGGAGGAGGCCTCCTAAGAGGAAGGACTCTCGAGAAGGCGGGAGCGTAGAGCGAGAAGGGCTAGTAGCCGTCAACGTAGTAACTGTCGACAGCCTTACTAATAACGATACACAGCGAGAACGCGGCGGCGACATGGCAGTTACTTGGATTTTTTTTGGGAATGCGGGAGCGCAGTGGGCAGGGCAAGTAGTAGCGTCAACGTAGCTGTCGACAGCCCTACAAGTAGCGACACACGGCGAGATCGCGGTGGCGACATGGCAGGTACTTTAAAAAGACGTCTTTAAAAAGGGGTCTGTGGTAACCTTGAGCTAACCCTCGTTGCCCCGAGGTAACCCTCCAGTAGGGTAGGTTACCCTGAGGTCCTAGGGCTGTCGTACAAAGTCAACACATGTTTTAAGTCGACTCAAAACAACTCTCGTTGTCCGAGGTGGTCGTAGTAGGGCTATCGAACAAAGTAAACATATGCCCATGACGTGCGGATTTTGGGAATGCGGGAGAGTACAGTGGAAAGGGCTAGCATCAACGTCGCTGTCGACAGCCCTACTAGTAGCGATACACGGCGAGAACGCGCCGGTGGCGGCAGCGGCGGCGGCATCATGGCCGCAGGTCACACTTGAGAAGAGAACTTCGCCGCCGCGGTGCGAAATGTTGTGACGAGCACTTCGAACGCGACTAACAGAATTTGATCAGCGGTTCCAAAAAAATTTGTGACGAAGGGGTCGCTAATCCAGGTTAGAAGTTGCGGTGGATTTTTTTGCGAGTCGCAAATGCGAAGCTGATCTAGGTTAATTCAAGCGGCGATCCAGGATGCGAAGTGATAGTCCTAGCAACGCGCGACTTCGATCAACTACTACTACAGGCGTATCAACGGCAAGTAGCGGCGCAACCTGTCTACTGAACACCAAGGATTTGAACTACCAAGTTAGTGCAAGATAGCGGCGCTAGTACTACTACCAATACTACGTCCCAAACATTGCGAGGGGCCCAAACTCACCGCGGGACCTCAGGAAACACGCAAATACTCCTCACCACGATGTATGATCGGAGTTCTCTCAGATTTCCAAGAGTACGTCTGCTACACACGGAGACAATGGACGCGATCATGAGGAGAGGACACACGGGACGGGACAAGATGAGGATAAGACACACGGAGCGTAAGGGAACAACGAGCGGCAGAGAATCAGGCAGAGCAATCGACGAGATCATGAGGAGAGGACACACGGGACGGGACGCACGACTGTGAAAAGAGAAATTGTTTTGCTGGCTGAATACAGGAGCATGGGATCGATAACTAGGGAAGGAACAAGAGCAACAGGGAATTACATACAGAGGAAGAAAACCCTCCTGTCCATCCTTATCACCCTCTTCCTTTCCTCTTTCCCTGATCGCCCAACAACCAGCCGCAGCGGGTGCGTGCATTAGGGCGGGTCCTTTTCGTTCGTTTGAATGCGGCTCAGTGAGATGTCTCGCGTTCTACAACAATCTAACTAGTTTCCAAATCGGTCGAGATGGGTATTGACCTGAAATGAAATGAAAATGACGCGCCCTTACACTACACGTGTACAAACAATAAAACACGACTTTGTACACCCTGTTTCGCGCTACACTGTCATTGGCTATATGGGCCTTGTGGCTCAACACGCCAGAGGACGCGTTGTAGTGGACTTTTGCACCAGTGTGGTTTGACGTGGTTAGTTACTTTCAAAGACGGTCGTTTGAACGTTTGATATGGCTCGGTAGGGTACCCAGGATAACGAAATTGCGAATCACTCACCCCCTAGAGACGGTTATTGTAACAATTCCGAATACGTCCAAGGAACAGTTTCACTGTAGCCAGTGAATCACGTTGCCAGTGTAGCGCGAAAAAAGGTGTACAACAGTACTTACTGCAGTATCTAGACTTCGTACAGTAATTTACTGTACAGTCTAGGGTAATTTGCCCGCGCTCCGTCAATCCCGCGAATTTGCCCATGCCCTATCGTACAGTTACCTATCCCTCTACTAGAAGAGTATTTTTACGAACAAGAAGAAAAATACATCTACAATTGCACAGATGCCCAGACACACCAAGGGATGCCATCCCCAGATTTCCAGTTATTTTGGAATTGTGAACATTTATCTCGTTACAGTCCCATTTTTGCTCGTGGCAGAATTCGACGACATTGTCGAAATCCTTTTGTCTGTTTCAGTTTACTGCCGCCCCAAAATGTAGCGTGTGTCAAATGGGCATAAGCTGTAGTATCTAGACTTCGTACAGTACTTCACTGCCTAGAATCGTGTGATGTACGCCTAAATATGTATGTAAGACACCCTTGAAACCGAACTTTACTGTACTGTAGTAACTAGACTACGTGAAGCCATCTCTAACATACCGTTGCAAAGATTGTCGGGTCGAGTACAAGGTGATTTGCGTGGTCGTGTCGTCGTGACCTGACTTTGTTTGTGATGACAGTGTACACTCATTTCCGGCTATTTCGAAAGCCTGTAATTGTTCATGAGACACCCTACATGTCCTAGCAGTATGACACTAGCGCTGTCACTTCCTCGCGTCACGTGCTCGCACGCACGCACACACACCACATACACGAAGATTGAGCATGCATGCAGTGCATTACACAACGATGTACAAGCGATTTTATAGGAGAGAAACAACGCTACATGGCAAAATTTGTGCTATGGCATCAAATGCAACTATATGTACATGTACATTTACGCGAGTACACTGGTAAAAACAAATACATTCCGTGCTGATCTATACGCAAGCATACATGTCATGGAGGCGACCAGGCACAGACAGACTCGTAAGTGTGCTGTAGATACGCCTCAAGAACCGCTTTCTGCAAATGAGTAGGTAGAAAAATGATGGGGAAGGGGATCGGTACAGAACAGAGCACTGGCTGACCCACACCAGAGATTAGGACAGCCAAGCAAAGAGTGTCACAGTGTGGGACGGCATTGTCAAGGTGTCCTCGCAAGTGTGCGTGCGTGCGTGGATGAAAAAACGCGCTGTCAGAACAGCAAGGAGTTTTGTTACCTGCTGTCAGAAACAGCAGGAAGAGCAAGCAAGCAAAGAGAGCGTGTAAGGGCATGTTCCTACGGCCCCTTATCAGGCCAACCTCTTATCAAGCTCGCGTCAAAACACACTGAAAATTTCATAAACCTAAAAACCCTCGCTACTTTTACCAGGCAAGGCTGACAAGAGGTTTGCCTGATAAGAGCATAGGAACATGCCCTAAGGGGGAGGGTTTGGCACCTGGAATGTAGCGAAGGGGCAGACAACCCTTCCTCCACACAGCTGAGGGGGACACACGAGAGACGCAGAGGGATGCAGAGGGGTACAGGGGAAGGCAGAGGGGCACAGAGGGACGCAGAGGGGCACAGCGGAAAGCAGAGGGGCACAGGGGAAGGAAGAGGGGCACAAAGGGAGGCAGAGGAGCACAGAGGGACGCAGAAGGCCACATTGGGACGCAGAGGGGCACAGAAGGGACGCAGAAGGCCACATTGGGACGCAGAAGGCCACATTGGGACGCAGAGGGGCACAGAGGGACGCAGAAGGCCACATTGGGACGCAGAAGGCCACATTGGGACGCAGAGGGGCACAGAGGGACGCAGAGGGGCCCAGAGGGACGCGAGGAGGAAGCAAGATAGCAAATGCACACGGGAATGGATAACGAAGCAAAGTCAGCGTAAGGGATCTACTGAGAGAGATGACAAGGATGGGGATAGATGAAGAGGATGGTGGGAACAAGGTGCGGGAGCGAGTGAGCAATGAGACAAAGCAGGCAATGAACAGACAAATGGCGAACATGCAAATGGCCCAGCAACCACACAAGCAAGCAGCTCAGCTCACCGGCAGCGGCACAAAGCGCTCGTTGTGCATCACTGCCACTGCAAAGCCGCCTGGCGCCCAACAAGCCAACGGCCCACCCAGCCCACGCAACCAACCCAAGCAACCATGCAAGCCACAAAGCACAGCATCGCAACTCACCGGCAGCGGCACAAAGCGCTCGTTGTGCATCACTGCCACTGCGAAGCCATCTGCCAACGCCTCTGCAGCCTCCGAATCAGCATCCAAGTCCAAGTCCATGTTGGCAGTTGTCTCCTTGGTCCCCTCTCCTCCAACACCACTGGTGCTGCCGCTGCTGCCGCCGCCGCCACCGTCGCCACCATGAGAAGCACAGGAGCTGGAGGCAGCATCCGGCGACTCGTGAGGTCCACACCTGAAAGGACAACTGATAGCTCTCATTAGATGTGCGACGAATAATTGAGACACTTTCGGAAACAGAGAAACTCGCGCAGAATGCTGCGAGCACGCGAAGATCAGTACCGGAAAAACAGCTCGCGGAAAACCCGTTTACAATGGTGCACGCATCTGAAGAGGACAACAGCAGTGTTGGCAGCGTAGGGTGCGATCTGGCAGGATGGCCACCACCGGTGCAGGGCGGGTGGTGGTGGGTGATTAGTAACTCACCGCCTACTGCACGCACCTGAAGAGGATGACAGCAGTGTTGGCAGCGTAGGGCGCAATCTGGCTGGCTTGCCAGCGCCGGTGGGATGGAGGGGCGGGCGGCAGAGGCACCGGCGGGGCGAACTGCTGCGTGATTGTAGCGGCCACCTTCGCCATTAGCACATCGTACTTGTCACGGAGGGGTCCTTCCTTCTGCTGCTGCTGCTGCTGCTGTTCCTGCTTGTCGGCTTGCTTATGTGCACGTTCGTCCTCTTTAGTGACACCCTCGTCAGGGGATTCTGGCTTGTACAGTCCCAGGAGGCATGCAAACGGAATGACTGTTTCTGCATGACCAAAGTGCAAAGCAGCCCGCTCCCTCACCCCATCCCTCCACCCATCCTTCTCCTTCTTCCCTTTCTTCCCCTTCTTCCCCCTCTTCCCTACCCTCCCATCCCCTTCCCCCTCCTTCCCCTCTTCCCTCTCCACCTTCCCACTTCCCGCAACTCTCCCAACTCCCCCTACCCTCTCCCCTTCCACCCCCACCAAGCGCCCTTCCTCCCACAGCCTCCTAAGTCGCGCATTGACCATTCTCTCGCTTAGTTCCTGCAGCAGGTTTAGACCCATGTGGTAGTTAATCTCCCGCCCATACCCCTTCTGCATGAACGTGTCCACGTCATCAATCCACTCCAGCACCGCCAGGTGGCGCGCCGAGAACAGGCCACACGCGCGGGAGGCCGAGCCCTGGTGATCACCCTCGTCCGCTCCTTCTCTCCCATCACCCCCTCCTCCTCTCAGCAGCACCCCTGCCTCGTGCTTACACTGCAGCCACAGCCCACTCACATCATACGCCGTCAGATCAACACCAGCGGCCTCCTGCGCCGCATCCTGACCGTCCATTCCATTCCCCACCAACCCCTCATCATACCCCAACCCCAACTGTTCATTCCCATCTCCTGCAACCTCCCCTCGCACCCCCTCCTCTCTCTTCTGTGCCTCGGGTGATTCAGAGACTAGCCCAAGCTGTTTGTTAATATCCTGGGCAATTTCCCCCCATAAATCCTCCCACCCTTCATCCAGCCGCCCCTGTGCATTCTCTTTCACAGCCACGTACGCGCCGCACAGGTTGTGGAAACGAAGCTTCGTGTCGCCTTCCTGGGTTTCAGAAATTACCGGGAAGGCGCGGAGGCGAGCGGGCGTGAGAGAGCCAGAGCCCTCTAGGAGGCCGATGGCGAAGGCGACTGCACTGGCTGCTGAGCGCCCTACCTGATGGGGTGCGGGTGGGTGGGGAGAGGAATGGGATGGCCCAAAGAGGGATGGAGGAGATAGGCATGACCTTGGAAGAGGTTGAGGCGCGCGCGCGTGAGGGAGACGGAGTTCTCTAGGAGGAGAATGGCGAACGCGACTGCACTGGCTGCTGAACGGGCGACCTGAGGGGAAGAGGATCGGAGAGGAGATAGGGAGAAGGGAAGGAGAGAGTTGAACTCGAAGGTACCCAGCACCCGACCCTCTAGGATACCAATGACAAAAGCGACCGCAAGGTTGCTGAGTGGACGACCAGAAAGGGTTGCAAAGGGGGGGAGAGAGGAGTGCGGAGGAGCTCACTGCCTCAGCAGCTCACAGGCCTGACCCCCCGCCCCCCTCTAAAGGGGTGACCACATTACCTGCGTGGAGAACAGTTTCACCGCCTTGCTGTGATACACGCCCCCAAGCAGAGAGGGAAAGCGCCTCCTGAACCGCCCGCCCATGCGATACAGCTCCTCCTCGCCCTCAGTCAGCAGCTCGCCTCCCCCCTGCATGCCCTCCCATGGTGACCGGTACCCTCTCATCCACTGTGTCAGGTGGAGGCTCCAAGACCACCCAGCTGCTGCAGATGTGACTGCAGAGGTAGAGGAATCTGGAGGGACAGGTGCAGCGGCAGCAACAGATTTTCTAGAGGCAGCAATGCTGGCAGCAGCAAAGGTGCGTCTGAGCTTGGGCGCGAGCTCGTTCAACTGGTGCACACGACGCTTGGTGGGCTCCCTAGCTCCGTGCCTGGCCTGGAAAGAGGGGACGGGAACATGAGGAGCACGGCGGCAGCGGGAGATACAGAGGCAGCAAATGCACGTGTGATTGTGGGGGCGAGGTCGCTCAGCTCGGCTGGTGGATGCGACACTTGGTAGGCTCCCTTGCTCCGTGCCTGGCCTGGATGGACGGGGGAGCAGGGCAGCAGAGGGAAATGCAAGGAGCGTCTGAGCTTGCGTGCGAGCTCGTTCAGCTGGTGGATGCGACGCTTGGCTGGCTTGGCTCCCCTGCTCCATGCCTGGTCTGGATGTGCGGAGATGGGATGGGAGGCACGTGGGAGTGGACGACTGGGAAAGGGAAGCGTGGCACAAAGAGGAGGCAGTGCAGACGGGCACAGGGAGCAGGTGGCAGGCACACTGATGTGCAGCATGGAATCAACGACGGATACACACAAGAAAGGTGAAAAGAGAGCATGGAAAGGCAGGTTCTGCTTTTGAGTCGACTCAAACGTAGTGCAGACGGGCACGGGGAGCAGGTGGCACGCACGCTGATGTGAAAAGAGAGCACAGAAAGGCAGGGCAGGGCAGGGCAGGGCAGGGCAGGGCGCACGAGGAGGAAGAGGTAGATGGGCGCGCAGGAGGGCGTGCAGGAGAGCAGCAGGTTGAGGTTTGTGGACGCAAACGAGACAGACAGACTTAAAGAAAGGCTTGAGAAAGCCATGAGAGGAAGGGCAGAGCAGGGCGCACGAGGAGGAAGAGGTAGATGGGCGCGCAGGAGGGCGGCAGGTTGAGGTGCTCCAGATACTGCGGGCCGCCCGCTGCTGCTAGCGAGTCCTCGTACCTGGGGATAGGGGATGCGTGGGGGGAGGGAGGTGGGGAAGGGCGCTCAAGAAGGGAATCATAAGGAGGCCTCCTAAGGAGGGCGGCAGGTTGAGGTGCTCCAGATACTGCGGGCTGCCCGCTGCTGCTAGCGAGTCCTCGTACCTGGGGATAAGGGGGGAAAATGAGAAAGGGTGTCATGATGGGGGGATCATGATGGGGGGATCATGAGAAAGGGGGTTCACTAAGGGAGGTATAATGAATGGGGGATATCATGAATGGGGGAATCATGAATGGGGGAATCATGAATGGGGGAATCATGAATGGGGGGAATCATGAATGGGGGAAATCATATGGAGGGGGATTATGAAGGGTGGAATTACGAAGGGGGGAATCATGAGAGGGGGAATCATGAGAGGGGGAATCATGGAAGGGGGAATCATGAAGGGGGGATCATGGAGGGGGGATCATGAAGGGGGGATCATGAGAAGGGGAGGGGAGGATCGTGGTGGGCGAATATGGGGTGGCAACAGAGGTGGGTGAGTGGCGAAGGTGAAAAACACTGAGTGACTTCAGCGTACTGCACCGCACCCACCCATGCATGCACTGGTGCATGCCATCCCTCCATGCATGCACCATCACTCCTTATGATGTACCATGATGCACGCTCATGCACCATCCGCGCCCCCCACCCATCATTCACCTGAACATTCACCTGAAGATTCACCTGGTGGCGGTACCAAGGTGAGCCGCAATGCTCGCGTTCACATCTCGCGAGACTGCCGCCCATGCCGCAAGCCACTCCGCGTCCCCACGCGATCCGTTGCACGTCCCTTGCCCGATTCTTGAGCCGATCCCTGATTCTTGGCCTCTTGCCTCTAATTCTCGGCCGCCATTCTTTGACTGTTTCCCTCGACATTCTCGAGACCCTCCGAGGATCTCTTTATCAGAAATTTCAGGACCTCCTGCTACGCCATCCTCTGCGCGTTCGGCCTGCACGACAGGCCGCGAGGTCTCTCCCTCTTCAGTCTGCTGCGGCTCCGTAGCGAGGGCGTCGCCCTCCGATCTGCCTAGAGAACGGATGCGGTCGATGAAATTGCGACTTGTTTCGAGAATATTAGCGGAATACCTCGAGAATTCGACATGAAGTCTGGATAAGGTACTACCTGGGGCTGAGCAGCTGTGCGATAACGTGATATGTGGCGAGCAATGACTGACGAAGAGAAAAAGCGCGAAACCAACCGAGCAGACGGTGACGCTTATGATACATGCGATCGAACGCGAACGGTTACCCCCCTGCGCTGATTCCATGGCTACCCGGACACAGTGGCCACTGTGAATTCTAAGCAAACGCGCCTAATATCTCCGCGGTATCAGATTGACAAACTGTACAAACACATCATTGATAAGGATGTGTCTCGCGATCTCGTTTACAGCTCAAGTTCGTTGTTGTAACCCTGTTTCTCGTCTGTAACCTTTCCCTGCATGACATGCGTCTTCGATGACGCACCGGATGACACGCCTAGGACGTCAAGATGTTCGTACTATCCCACGTACAAAGTACGTGAGATCACTTCGTACGGGGTCCTCCATTCCGTTACCCCAATCGGAGACTTCGCGCACATTCAGTCGCGCGAAGGGGCACAGTTGATTCGCACTGTGGCGGGTTACCTCTCGCGGCCCATGTTCGGATAACGATTTTTGTGTGGGTGGGGCTATGAGTCCGCATGGGTCAATTTCGTTTGGCGCTGTGTTGATGTGCTGCGTGTTTTTCACGTCAGAGTGTACACTCTTTTGCTTTGTCGAAATTTCGTAAAAAAATACGATTTTCTACCCAAATGAACTCATGGGACACGCCCTAGCGATCATTCCCACGGTGACCCGAACATCCTACAGTGGCCTTGTTTCGCAGTGTTAGGCCCGACGGCCTAAGTCCACTAAACATCCCGAGGATGCAAACGCGGCGGAAGACTTTGGCGAAAGAACTAATGGCGAAATAGGCGAAAGTGTTACTAAGTAATTGAAGAGTTGAAGGGGAATTGATATTGGTGGATACAAGCAAGGATGATATAGCATGCAAGGTCGAATGTCGGAAAGTACTTCGTGGGACTAGAAAGTAGAAGCAAGAGAGGTAGAGTGCCACGTGGCACTAGGAAATCTAGGAAGATAAGGATAAGGGTGAGTTGGAAAGTACTATTCGGAATGAACAGTAAATCCCCCCTTAACACTACCCCCCTCCCAAGGAGGCGACGTCCGCGGCGCCTGCAGACTGGAGATACGCTTGGAGGCAAGCGTTGTCGGGAGACAGCGAGGACGAAGGAACCTAGCTGTCGTCTGCTGTGTCGTAACCACGCCAACGAACCAAGAAGTCGATGAAAGGGACACCCCCCTGGAGACAGCAACGGTGCCTGAGGATGCGCTGGATCTGGTAGTCGGGCTCGTCGGTGTCAACAGCTACCGGCAGTGGAGTGCGGTCACGGCCCGAGAACGTGGTATTGGGATCGGTGTAAGGACGAAGAAGCGACACGTGGAATGACGGGTGCATGCGGAAATGAGCGGGAAGGCGGAGGCGGTATGCGACTGAACCAAGTGCGCGCTCAATGACGAATGAACCAATGAAACGTGGACGAAGCTTGATGTCCTGTGGCACTCGGAGGTTGCGGCTATCCAAGAGAACACGGTCGCCGACTGCGAACGACACCTCACGACGACTGCAGTTGGTGGTGCGTGCCATGCGTGCATTTGCGAGCTCAAGGTGCTTCCTCGCGTGATCATGAATGAAGGTGAGATGTTTGATGGAAGTTGTCCGCACGAGGGACAGTGGGTGTGAGATCGACACGAGTGGGGACATTGGGGTGCTGACCGTACAGTGCGAAGAACGGTGACATGTCTGACGCGGAGTAGTGCGTGTTGTTGTAGGCGAACTCTGCCATGCTCAGCTTCTTGTCCCATGCGGCTGCGTCGTGCATCGTGATGCTGCGAAGAATCTGCTCCAAGGTCTGGTTCACACGCTCGGTCTGTCCGTCTGTCTCTGGATGGTACGCAGACGACATGGCTAAGCTAGTCCCAAACAGTGCGAAAAGCTGCTTCCCGAACTTCGAAGTGAAATGAGGGTCGCGGTCTGAGATGATGGAATCTGGAACCTCGTGCAATCGGACTATGTTATTTACGAACAGTGTCGCAGCTTCCTCTGCTGTGACCTTGCCGTGCGTGGGGATGAAGTGCGCTGCTCGAAAAAACTTATCCACTACCACGAAGATGGCGTCGTGACCCCTAACTGTGCGCGGTAAAGCCATGATGAAGTCCATGGTAACTACCTGCCAAGGGCGGTCGAGCGAAGGAATCGGCTGCAAGAGTCCTACTTTGCGCTGGCGAGAGGACTTCATACGCTGACACGTGTCGCACGAGCGAATGTAATCCTACACGTCTGTTGCAAGCCCTGGCCAGTAGTACGTGCGGCTAAGCATCTTAGCCGTCTTATCTGCTCCGAAGTGCCCTGCACTAACTACGTCGAGCGCCTCTGAGAAAAGGAGTTGTCGAAGAAGGCGGTAGGCTGGAACCCAAATCCGTATGGTACCCTTCCGTATGTAGACACTACCATGTCAGAGGTCCACTGGTGATCCCCGATTGATCCTACGGAAGGGTTACGGGCACGTTGGCCTAGGGGGTTATGGGCGCACTAACCCACTACACAAACAATCCCTTTTATCCCAATGGTCTAGTGGTTGGGATTCTGATATACCCTGCACCTCTGCTCCTGCGGGCGGCTTCAATGTCAAGTCGGGATCTACTGTGTAACCGTGCTCGAAGAGTGCTGTGAGAAGTGGATGGCCGGCAGCGACTGTGAAGCTGGCGAGCTGGCAACTAGGGCGAGTGAGCGGATCTGCTTGGTTGCGAACGCCTAGCTTGTACTCTATCCTGTAATGGAAACTCCCCTCCATGAACTCCATCCATCTAGCCTGGCGACGACTCAGCTGCGGCTGGGACTTGAGGAAGCGAAGCGAGCAATGGTCCGTGCGTATAACACTATCTGCCCCCTCTAGGTAGCACCTCCACACCTTATACGCATGGATGATCGCGAGCGCCTCCTTGTCGCGTATAAGATAGTTCAACTTTGCTCCCCTAAGCTTACGCGACTCGTACGCGATCGGCTCCAACCCACGTCCTTGGTCCTGAAGAAGCACTGCTCCTATGGCTTGATCTGAAGCGTCGGTCACTACAACGTATGGGCAAGTGGGATCAGGGAACGACACTGTCAGTGAAGACGTGAGAGACTGCTTCATCTGCTCGAACGCCTGCTGCTACGCTGGACCCCAAACGTACTCTACGCACTTCCGAAGTAGGTCAGTGAGTGGACTAGAAATGGAAGTGTAACCCTGAACGAAACGACGGTAGTAATTAGCGAATCTGAAGAAGCTCTGCAACTCCTTGACTAAGATCCTTGCCGCTCACTTCACCAGCTGCCGCACACGAACAGCATTGATGATGGCTGTGGTGGATGTGGCCCCATCACTCCACTGTGGCAGCTCCCGGAACTCTCCGTCTACCTTGACGCAACAGCTTCCCTGAGCCCAATCGAACTAAGTACTAACCGTTCGTAGCCAATCCCTCCCGAATATGAAATCATAATCGTCCAGTGTCGCAGAGTCGAAGTCACGCCTAACCGTGATCGGTCCTAACACTACGCACAGCTTGCGAATGACTGGTCCTATGTGAAGTGGCGTCCCATCTACCATGCGAGCATCCTTGAAGTTGACTGCCAAATCTGCTTCGAGATGGAGACGACTAACTAATGAACACGAAACGAACGAGTGGCTAGCTCTGAGAAAACTAAAACAAGAATAAGTGCACTAAGGAATGAAAGTGGTACAAATATGCAATCCTAGAAACGTGTACCCCATATAGGCTACCCCACTACAGCCTACACAACATTACAATTTGACACACTCACATAGGCAAAGTGGGGGAGAACAAGAGGTCACAAGACCAGTCAGGCAAAGCAAAGCAAAGCTCAGGGTGGATCACAAAGTCACCACACATTCCGAGCACAAGTTCAAAGCCAGAAGGCCAGCTCACATGCACGAGCACACATATATATAAAAGGCTAAATAAGCAAGAGCAGGAGTATAAATATATGTAACAGTACAGCAAGGTCACGAAGTGAGCAAGTGAGGCAAGACAGGCACAAGACCAAGCTGAGTACAGAAGCGCTGATGATCACAAGGCGCAAGTGCCTTGGTAAAGATATCAGCAGTGTTGGCCTCAGAGGCCACGTACGCAAGCCGCAATTGACCACGCTGCTGCAGCTCACGAGCAAGAAAGTAGCGGAGAGCAATGTGCTTCGTTCTGTGCTCCAGACGCTGCTCCCGACACAAGGCCAGCATGGCCTTGTTGTCTACGTACAGCACTTGAGGAGAACGGGGCGGCTCTCCGAGGTGAGTCAGCAGGTAGGTGAGCCAGCGAAGCTCCTGAGCAGCCATGGCTCCAGTGTAGATCTCAGCTTCACAACTGGAGCCAAGAACGGAAAACGAGCGAGTAGCCCGCCACGAAACAGAGCCGGAACCAAGGCTGAAGGTGTAAACCTGTGACAACCGCTGCGTAGCCTGGTCGTCAGCCCAAGAAGAGTCTGCGTGCTCAGTGAGGACCACTGGACTCTGCCCTCCAAACACTAGGCCCATGCCCGACGTACTGCACAAATAGCGCAACACCCTCTTCGCTGCAGCCATGTGCTCTGGTCTGTGTCTCCCATGAGCAACATAGCGTGCAAGAATGCTAAGAGGGTATGCAAGG